CAACACTGACGCAACAGTTGGATAAATTTTATGCATTTGGCTCTAGCCTACTTGATCTCACACTACGTCTTTACTTTACGCTTATTATACAGACACCTTACTACACTTTATAATGTTTCACGGCACACACACCCCCGTCACTAAAATCGTAATGGGCAGACAGTAATCGAACTATTTCTATGTGGATAAGTGCATTTTGGCTTTAATAACTCCTCCCATTTCGAGACATCAAGCGTGACGTGATACACACATGCTTATATGCAAGTTAGATATTTTAGGGTTTCATGGTTTGATCATTATTTCATGAGACAATACATAAAAACATAAATTAATGTCATAATTATACCCGACTCTTGTATTGATATGCCTATATTTGTATAAACTATTTAGAAAATATTTGTTTATTTAATAAAAGCTTTTCTAGAAGAAAAGTATTTTTTACATCCGAGAAAAAAAAAATTATTTTGTTTGTATGTTTTTAAGCACAAAGCTACAGAACTGGAATTCTGATGTGTCTACCACGGGTGTAAATTTGTTATATTTGTCATACATCCAGATATGTCTTAATGTAGACTTTAATGACGTGTGAATTAATTTTTTCCACCGAAATAAAAAATTAAGCTTTTCTTTGAAGTAACGACTATGTTTTTAAAACTATCTTCTAGATAAAAATACAAATTTTAACAAAAATAATTTGTTAATGTTATCACTAACATTTATTCGTTGATTAGCATTAATGGATAACTTATTATATCTTTAAGTTAGCTTGTTAATTTTTTTTGTAGGAAACTTACTCAGTATGTTAGCTTTAATTCAAATTAGTTTGTAGAAAGTAATTATTTTTAGTTATAACTAATGATTCATTTATTACTCAGTAAGCTGTTTAACTTTCATTGTCAAGCTGTTTAACTTTCATTAGTAAACTGCTTTATTAATCAGCTGTTTAACTTCTTTGGTAAGCTGTCTGCGTTTCTTTGAACTTCGAAAACAAAACATACGAATACCTTGGAAAGGGAACAAAAATATTATTAGAAATAACGTTAATGACCTTGATGAAGAACAGGTTATAATTTTGCTTGCCTCTCTTACTAATTTCTTATTTTGAAAACAAATCTATTTAGAAGAGAAACAAAAGGGTCCGTTTTTCACGTATGTAGAAAATATATGATCGGTTATATGGTAGGCTAAGAATAATTATCTTAAAACGTTTTTATTTTAGCCTCGTTGTTGGACCATCTCATTCAGGAATTCTCCATTTTCAAGCCAGGACAAACTCAATATACTGTTCTGTATAGGTTTATAACTGGATTTTGTGTTCCTTTTACCCGAAGTATATCACAAAGAAAGAACCGTCACTCTGCTGACACACATAAAAGTTAAAAGAAAGTAAGTGTTACTTGTATGTATGTATGTATGTATGTATGTACAATATTAAACTCTGAAGATCCATTTGTTAGACTAATAAGAAATACATTACTATAAACAGTCATTTAGTCAAAGTTTAAATATTACATTGTGATTTTTTTAGTGAAATCGCTTACAGTGATAGTTGCAATGTATTGCAAGAAAGTAATATGTCCAGTTTTGTTCTATTTCATATTTCCAAAATACAAAAAGTATTGGTTATTAAATACCGTAATTAGATTTTCAGCCTTAAGAGTTCATAAACATCATTTAACTTTTCATCAAAGTTTCTTTAATTATCTTTAGTACTAGTGGACATTGGTTGACATATGGCATTAATACTGAACTGAAAGTAAATAATCATCATCAAAAGCGTTTAAGATAAATAATCCACTTTAATAAGGGTAAAAGTACATATATCCAGTTAGGTTTCTTCTAATTTCACAGAAACATTCCAATTATTCTAGTACACTCAATTTTTTTTTTCTTGCATATGTTTTGAACAACATGCATTATAGCTACGTTTCCGTCACCTTAAATGCATTCCACGCAAAAGTTTTCTGAATCAGAAAATAGGTGAAGCTTTCATACACTTCATTCCAAACTTGGCTCCAGGTTGGTGTAAAATTCACTGAACCTTTTCAAAACTGTTACCCTAAGAGATGAAAAAAAGACGAAGAGAAAAATAAAATTAGAATTCGCCAAATACAATTATGCTGATAGCGAGCATTTGGCATTTATCGTAAAGTACGTTAACTATTATTATTCAAGTACCAGAAACATAATCCATGACCTTTACACTGGCATATATCTTGGAAAAAAGATTATATTTCTCTATTACGTTTGTTAGTTAGTATTTGTTGTTGTGGAGAATTAATGGAACATTTTAGGAATCATGTTATACATTGGTACCCAAAATTGATAACAGAGTCTTTCTAACACTACCGCCCCATACAGCCCTTCCCTCAGGAGAGTAGCAGATTAGCAGCCGAAACGTAGAATCTATTAGTATCTAATAAGTAAATTAGTAATTAATTAATAATAAGACTTAACCGATTCTATGACAATGATTGTTTTCGTTGTCACTACAACCCTTACTGAAGGTACTTACTAAACTTAGTTATCCAAAGAAGATATCTGCCTTAAAGACTTATGTAGCAAAGGCTATATAATGATTTTAATCTTCGGTATGTAAAATACTACATCATAATTTACTAAGAAAATTTATTTTCTTTTTCTTACTTGAATGCTACGCGGCCTTTTGACTGGGGAGCTTCCCATACGAGGACCGCACCACGTTTTCTTACGTTGTCACTATGAGTAGCGCCACTACAAGTTTCACTGTTGTAGATCTTTAGTCCTTTACCGTCTTGAAATTTTCCAATAGGAGCTCCAGTAGCCGGATCATAAGCTTTCACAAAAAAGCCAGAGAAACTATGATCCCGAGATCCTCGAATTTTTACTGCAAAATAATTTTTTTTAAAGTCACGAATAGAACACAAAATGTAGAAAAATCTAAGCTCTAGTAACTAAAAGAATAAAATAGAACCATTGGAGAGCGCTTTTACTTTCAAATGCTTCAAGTAATGTTTGCAAGCAAATAAAGTCGAACAACAAAGCGTCTTTGATCTGTACTAGTTTCATTATAGTAGTACAGGCCTACTGAGTATTAAAAAAAAAATAAAGTATGATAAGAATACCTGACTAAACAGAATGGTTGAAGATAAACCCAAAGTTGAAGTCAATATTATTACCTGTAACAACATCTCCTGGTGCGTATTGATCTGTTGACTGGGTTATCTTGAATGGCGAATAACGAGATGGTTGTGGTTGATTTTTACCATGTCTAGGAGTTAAGCTTTCACACGCTTCAATCGGGGCGCCCGATGGGTAGCCGTAAACAGTGGGAACAAATACGTAGACCAAAACAGCTAACAAATACATCAGACGCATCTTCTTGCGAGAATATAATTTCCTACAGGAGTGGGAAAAGAAGAGCAAAAAAAACAGGAATTTTATAGATAAAATCTTTCAATTATTAGCGTTTCATCTATAGCAAAGAATAGTATTCGAAAAACACAATAAAACTGGCTGTGGGGGAGTAGCGCATCGTGTAATATGTTATCGCAAAAACACAATTATACAAAAACAGAGGTGGTCAGAAAAAAAAATGGAACTTTCTTTCTTTTATGTTACGGCACTTCGTGTAAATAACTTACCCATAAAAGTACAAATAAATCATCTATTTTATATGAAAGATACGTGGGAAATACTAGTAGTGTGGGATTAATTGAAATATTGATTTATTTTTTGTTAACAAATTGTAGCCGACAAATCTTCGTGTCAATGAGCCAGTCATTCGTCCACAACGAGTAGATAGAAGAATTATGTTCTGTATTTCCACATTATACCACAATAGCTTAGCGGTAAGTTTGATAAGTTATAACGATAAAAATCTGGGTTAGCTACCTGCCATTGTCACAGCGAAAATTGCCCATTGTATAGCTTTGCGTATTAAAATACAACTATAATTCTACGACAATTAAGAAGTAACATATACAATGAAATTTAGTTGTATAAAATACATTTTCTGTGTATGTTAGGTAAATTAATAGAAAATAAATAAACCACGCTTTTTGGGCGAAATATTAGTACAAAGACTAAAAAACTAGTTTCGATTATTTTATGTTTTCTATTCAGTTCCTTCTCAAAAGACTGTTTAGAATAAAAAGGGCACATAAAAGTGTCGAAACTAGTTTTCTTATCTTTATCAGGCAGGCAGACGGCAGCACTGCTTATCTAGGGATGGCACAGATCATTAATCGAAATGGTATTTTTAATATCTCCTCATTAGATTATCAGAACTTTACAATACTATAAAGTGTTGACTTTTATAACAATATATATGTAATGACTGAGTCACTAGTTCTGGAAATGTCTGTAAATATTATAGCAAAAAGTTTGAATTTCTTCTTTTTTATTACATGATAACTCAAAAACCGAAACAGTGGTGTCAACCAATTTCACTAAAGTGACATAATTTCAAACGAAGTATTCGTTTTTATAAATATTACCTACTGTAAACGATGTAGTTAGCTTTTTTACAGACATGTGGTGTTCCTTTAAAAAGCTTAAGTAGAGGATGAAACAGGAATTACTAGCCAATATCAGATAAACAATAAATATTGAAGTTGGAACCTCATTGTATTTAAAACTTGGTTATAAATACAACCTCCTTATGTCTAGTGAAGCACTGCATTAAATAAATCAAGCAAAGAAGTAATGAAAAACTTTTCAAAAAAGGAAGTAAATGTAGGGATGGCTTATAACAATACTTCAAAAACAATGGAAACAAGATAGTAGGGACGACATTTTCATCATCCCTACATAATAGCACGGGCAAGAATTAACATATAGCAAAATATATAACTATTCAATCACATTGAATTTAACTTATCCTTTTGTTTTCTGTTAACATACTACTATACTGTGTGCTGTGCTATTTTACTTGTACTAATATTTCGTTCCAAAATGTTGTTGTCTTTTGTCAGTGAAATCATTTTCTTATGAAAGCTGTGCCTTTCACTGTTTTCTCACCAAATTATTTCTATCCATAACTAATTCACTTATTATAATAATCTAAATAATTAACTAATGTACTTCCATGATTTTGCTAAGTTTCCAGTCTTTGTAATAGATATAAACTGTATCAAATTATTTTTATTAAGTAAAATATATTTTTAATTTTATCGTGAGGAGAACGTTCCATTTTTTTGTAAGATAGTGATATTTTTCCTTTGCTTCGATACTTGATCATCTGTGATAAAGGAGAAAATGTTAGATCCTGGTATCCTTATTCTTGTTTTGTTAGACATTAATACTCATTCTTCTTCAGTCGTGAGTTTATACACTGTGTTTTACAGTGTTGTTGTTGAGCAATCATTCACTAATTCTTTGTAAAGAGCCATTATGTATAAAAGAAGTGTGACAAGAATGTTTCCTGTTTCATGCTCTCATCCAATTGGGTTTATTAGCTATCATTATTATGTGTGAAAATATCGACCCATGGTTACCATGCACAATTCTCAAGCATGAAATTGGTGCATTTCACTTTCTGTAGTAATAATGTTATTTATTTACAATCCAATAGCAAAATAAAAAAAATGCTTCTATTAAGGAATTTAGATTAGGAAACTTGATTTTTCCTTCCTTTTGTTTTCAACAGTTGCTTAATATATTTTTCACGCACTTTTGTGAATACCTAAAACGTGACCTCAATATGTCGAACACAATTGTTCCGAAATAAAATAGTTGTTTTAGTGGAACTACAAATCCTCTAAAACAAAAACATCAATGTATAGTAGTTAAATTTTTACACCAAAGCTGATACACTCAATAACCGTAAAGTTTGGTGTATTATGTAGGGTTAGATGTACATGCAAGTAGGCAGGGGATGGGATGCATAGAGTGCTATCGCTCCCATAAATTGAACCAGTATATGATACGATAGAATGTTTTCTAGGGAGACTTGACCCAAGTTCCCCAGTATGGCTTTGCCACTCATTTCCTTTTTCCTCTAAAAGTAGCAACCCTTTTCCAGAATGAAAATTGCGTTTTCCAAGTTGGAGATTTATCCTGCTCTGAAAGATTAATGGTGAACATTTTTTTATTAACGGAGCTAGTTGTAATTAACCCCTTTTAGGATTATATTTTCTAAAAAACATCGAATTTTATGTAATTTGCCACAATATTAAACAAAGGCTTTGACAGAAGAATAGAAACATTTTAGTTACCTTCTGAAATTTTGTGGTACTTGCTGAAAAGTGGGTGCAAACAAAACAAACACCGTTTTAAAACTGGTATAAATAATACTTTATAATTGCAAACATAAAAAAAAATCCTTCAAATTGTGCAATGTATTAAAGGATTTTTTACATTTTAAGTCTTATATGGGTCGACTCCTAATGTTAGGTAATCCAACATGTGAATTGAGAATTATACAAAATGCTCTATACACAAGATTTCCAATGTTCCATCCACACAACGTCAATGACACAAAACATGAAACCATATTAATAAAAATTGAAAATAAAATATAATTCATTTTTACAAACATTTTCTAAAACCTTTAAACACACATTAATAGTGTGAAAATCAGTTTTAATGAAAAGCTTAATAAAATTTAATAGTCAAAAACTACTTAAAATATTGTTACGTTTCCGTTTTTTAATTAACTTATTTTCCGTAACTTCGTACCGACGAAACTTACGCGACACAAGCCTTTACTTAATAAAACTGGTTTATTCTTTCCGAATATAACTTAACCGATACACTCAACAAT